TTCTGAAGATTGCATAAATCAACAAATGTAAGATAATGTGCACGCAGGATTATGGGCGTCAGTGTGAAGGTTGTTGTTTCGGTCTTTGGTTTGAATGAAGTTAAGTTCTTAATGTCATGGTCCTGGATGACTGGGTCTGTGACCCAGTGTTTTGTGTTGTTTATTATTAATAATCTTCTCTTTTGTGTTATTTAGAGTTCTTAGTCTATTGGTTTCTCTCTGCGTTCCATGTTTGCGCTGTAACCCCTTGTCAAGTCCGCGTCTGTATTATAGTTCCTGTTTTACTTTGACAGTCTGCATCTTATGTTAATATTTCTAGTTTTGCTTCCCTTGTCTCGTCCTGCCTAATTACTCTCAGCTGTGCTCTCCTCCTGTGTCTCATTCCCCTCGTTATCCCTCAGTGTAGCCCCGTGTTTCTCTTCATCAGTGTCACGATCTCCTTCATATATGTCTGTGTGTTCTGTTTGCCAAGCCTGCCAAGTTTAATTTAGTTTTTCCCCAGTGTTCAGCAATAAAGCTAACATTTTGAGTTTCAGCTTGGCCTCTGCATTTGAGTCTGAATTTTGGGACCTTTCATGCCTCCCTGCACACAAACCATGGCACTTAACAGGGTTGTGCTTTATTTTGGCCACATGTTAACTAGGCACGCTTTCATAACTGGAAGATGTTCCCTCTCATATTGGCGTCACAGATTTTCTGCAAAAATAAATAAAACTTTTTTTAATAGACTAATTATTTATTAGCCCCTTAGCAGTCCAATTAGTCCCCTAAACCATCCAATGTCCCGTGGGCGGTACGTCCGACTGCTAACAGGTTGAAGAAAGGTTAGACGCTAACTGTACCAAAACCCTAATCCTTGATCATTGCCAGTGTCATGGTAGATGTTAGGAGTTTAAAACCCTGCAACACAAGAATTCATACAGGAAAACAGGGAAAAGCTAAACTAAGCTGTGCCCTGCTTCTCTGCAGGTTTTAGACTTTTTAAAGCCATCCAGTGGGGTGGATTGGGTCTTTCAGTGAGCGAGTTCAGGCCCTAGGGCCACGTATTTGACTCACCTGTCTTAGCAGTGGGACATGATTCTGTGCTAATAAGCAAACTCTGTGGTAAATGCACCTGACCAGTTTGGACTGACAAGAGGGTAGAAAAAAATGCAAATCAGAGTTCAGTGAGTGTATTAGTCGGCAGGTAGGCATCTATTATGGTGGGTTTATTCTTGTTGTTGCACCAAAGAAATCTTAAAATATCCACTAAAATCTTGGCCTGATCAGTAACACTGCATACTTACACTGTTCATATGAAAGATAATCAAAACATTTTAATGTTGATAATTAGAGCAGGGCGATATGACCAAAAATATTTATCACGATATACATTTGAAAATTTGCGATAACGATATAACTGACGATATAATCGACACTAGACAAAATACTTTACAACTCCACAACTTTATCAGTGCAAAAAACCCATCAATGTATTTTCACTTACACAAGCAGCTTTTTAAGTGCATTAAAGTTATATAAAAAGTTAACAGTGCAAATGCAAATTCCTTGCTGTCAGTTTAACCAAAAGGCATTTTCAGTGGAAACTGCTCGACATATCCTCAGCATAACCATGTATAATATCCACAAAACTTAAAAAGAGGTTATACACACACAATACGGTAATATTATGTTGAAGCACAGTAAGTATCACTCCGCGAGGCTCCTGCCTAATATAGCCGTAATGCTCCAACAATCCATCAAGCGGTGCGGCTTCGTAGCTTAGCAAAGTCGTACTGAAACATTTGACAGATTTTCGAGCACCGTGTACATAAAATCGTTTCGAGGTCAGTAAACACAACCAGAATTCATACATAAGGCACACGGGATTATAAGGGGCACTGTCGATTTTCAGAAAAATCAAAGGATTTATTTTAAGTGTGCCGTATTTTCCAAACAATACGGCAATAACGACGGCCCGCTAGCATGCGCTACCAAAAATAGTGCTTTGTTGTGTATCTGACGGACGAAAGCTAAACCAGCTCCACCCACTGAAGTTGCAGCATTTTTACAAACCAATTCTGGTTTACCCGTTTCATTCAACGATCCGCTTTCGCTCTTCTCATTCTGCGTCGCAGCCATATGCGTATGTAAACATAAGCACTGCGCAAGCGCGTTTTACCCACATTCTATCGCGATATTTCATTTTCTTATCATTGCCCAACATTACACCGGTATTACCGTGAATGGTACGATATAGCCCAGCCCTATTGATAATGATGGTTTTCACACATTTTTATATCCTGACTCATCTCCATCAGTTTAGCTGTTTTCATTGTCATGCTGTGCATTACTCAGCAAAACATCACAAGACCAGGGAAATTACAACTGACTCAAATCCTATGCTAGTGTTACATTTTTTTTATTTGTTTCCTGGGTTCCCACACAACCTTCCACCTATCATCTTTACCACAGCAATGGGCCTGGAAGCCTGGAATGGGTGGACTTCAAAAATCACCAACACGTGTATTAGTTAGTATTTTTTTTATTGAAAAAGATTCTATGTACCATAAATGTTTTATGGTACATAAAAAAAACAACAGCTGGGGTCAAAAAAAAAGATCTGACGGTTAAAATCTTTTCTATACTTGGGTTTATAAAAAGGGCAGTATGTTTGCCATATCCAATCTCTGTCTGTAACGTTATTATTTTATTTAATATTTAATTCCTTTCTTTTGTTTTATATTTTTTTGGCCTGTAATTGGCATGCAATTCTGGGTTTTATCCTTTCTATTGTTATCATATTGCTGATGTTTTGCTCACTTGCGTTGCTTTGACACACTTTTAGTTTCATTGGTGAAAGTGAAACTCTCTGAAAGGGAAAGCTGCTATGAATTCCACTGGAACCCGTGTTTGTCACAAACAGCAGCCGCCAACGTACGGAGCAAGTCCTAGCACGATCTAATAATAATTTATGGCAGGCTGGTGTGCACATCAGCTGCTGTGCTACTGAATTCACATGAGAATGCCAGCGGGTGTTTAACAGTCTTACATGAGTTGGATGTGGTGTGCCGACAGCTGGCAAGCATCAGAGAGTTGGCAGAAAGGCAAGAGAGCAGGTAAGTCTTTCCTGTGACATGTTACAGGTAATTGGGTTCAGAGCTGGTAAGTACAGCTATAAATTTCTTCAAGCAACAGGTAGACAAGTTTCCAGATGAACCATCTCCTTCTGTGGAAGTTTGGAGCAGCTAGCTTGGAGACGTGAAAGCACACTGCGTTACCACAAAAGCGGCAGGTAACAGAGGTGGCCTAATTCTCACCATATAATGGTGCAGAGAACTGCTGTACTCTACACTTGATTACCAGATAGAGGGCAGGTGTTGGAAGGACTGCTTCAATGGAGAAATTCCAGGCAGGGGGTGGAGCAGGAGAAAGAAGCCATCACTCCATCTCCGCCTGAGGCTCCAAAGCAAGGAAAAGGTTAAGAAACAAAAGAAAAGACTTCCAGCCACCTGCCTCGTAAATCAAATAATGCACTCCCTCTCTACTAACTTTCCTCTTGGGTGTAGATTCACACTTCCTACAAGTTTATCCAGATCCAAGTTTTAGGCTTCACTGGAGTTTTTGAAATCGCTCTAGGTCTAATTAATCTCCTCGGACCAGTTTGCCTTGGGAGACTTTACCTGGGTTATACAGTTCATCAGTTTGGGGGGTTTGTGGTGGCTTATCAGTTATTTAGAGTTTACACTTGATTGTAATGGATGTTTGAAGGCTTCCAGTCTTGCTGCAATCAAGACTGAAACTTAGTTAATGGTTCTTTTAATTAATTGAATACAGCACTGTTTCAGTTACAGTTAAGTAAAGGTATAAAGGTTAGATTTCAGGAGGTCGAATGTAAAGTACCAGTTTATTGCCGGCACATCCAGCTGCCAGTAATTATTGTGCTTTAACTTCCAGAAGTTGCTCAAAAAAAATGGATCGCCCGTGATTTATCTCCCAAGAGATAGAGACCAGCTCTACCAGCTCTGCAGCTTTAATGAGCTCAACACATAAACCAGTTCTCCACGTGATGCGCTAAATACTTTTTATAATGTTAGAAAACCCAGTCTACCCAACAGACAAAGTCTCTCCAGCATGTCCTGGGTCGGGCCTGAGGACTCATACCAAGACACTTAGAAGGCACCCTGATCAAACCACCTTAAGTCTTGCGTTTTGATGTGGAGGAGGAACTGCTCTAGTCTGACCGATCTCTTCTTATCTCTGAAGCTGAGCCCATCCTGCCTTCAGGGGAGGCTCATGTCTAGCACACGTACCTCACCCTCATGCTTTCAGTCTGTACCCACAGCACAGATGTGGAATGTAGATCAACCAGTAAATCTAAAGCTTTGCTTCAACGCTCAGCTCTCCACCACAGCAGAATGGGTTCGGCAGATGCTGCATCAATCAGTCACTCTTCCACTCAATCCTTCCCCGGACTGTGAACAAGACCTCCTGTGTCTCGTGCTGCTGTTCTGCAGCCTCGATGAGCCTCGATAAGGTTTCAAAATAAGAGCGGCAGATTGTCCGCAAGTAAAATCACAAGATGTCGTCGTCCTCTTAAACAGATTAAAGATACGTTCTAAACTTATTTGCAGAATACAGCTGTTAACATACCCGGGTGACTAACAGACATGGGCAGTAATGTGTAATCCGATTACTTTTTTCAAGTAATGAGTAAAGTAAGGGATTACTAAAGCAAAAAAGTAATTACATTACTGTTAGTTTCCCCTAAGCAGGCGCCGTTACTGCGTTATTAAGTCGTGATTTTGTTTGTGAGAGTGTCTCATGACAATGACATACGAGTGTGCAACATCCATGGCAACAATGTGTGTAGATCAACAACGGACAAATGGAGTGCTGGAGAGAGTGCAACCATGCAGTATTTAAAGCGTGGAAGTTCAGACATTACTTTGAGTTTGATTCCGTAAAAAGTGACAAAAAGATTAGTGTAGGGGGCGCTTTGAGTGTACTGGGCATCAGGCCCATTGTTATGGGTCATCTGGTCCCTGTAGTTAGAGCCTGGTTTGCACTGCCAGCAGTAAATCCGATTCATTGAGGGTGGGCGTTGGACTCCAGCAGGCCTGTCCTGTCGCTGTACTTTATTACGTATTTGTTTACAGAAAGTTAAAGCAAAACAAAAACAAAAACAGGAAACTTAATGAAGCAGGACACCTGTCCATTTTTACACCCTGTGAAATAGTTATATGTCAGTTTCAGCATTATAAGAGCCAAGTAAGGTTGAATGATGAAAAGATTTGCAACGTTCTATAAACATCAGTTGCAACTTTACCAGATGATGTTCTACTAATCAATTATGTGCCAGTTATTAAACATTATTAAATATAATTTACTGCAATTTATTTATTTTTTTTACCAGTTATTAACAATGGTTATTACAGTTTGTCACCATTGTTAAAGACGTGCTGAAGCCGAACACTCAGACCATCAAACAGCATCAGGAGAGGCTGTGATCAGACAGGAAGCTTTTGTTTCTCAGTCAAAGTGAAGAACAGAGAGAGGAGCTCAAAAGGTCCAAGGAGCGCAGCGTCATGCATGTTGCTATGGACGCGTCCAATGGCATGGCAGGCTAATTTACAAAAGGAAGGTAACGCTGTGACGTGAGTGCTGAGGCACTGTTTTCCCTATAAAGCACCAGCTGATAAAAATGGTAATCTCAGACGGGTTTAAATTGCAGGATAAAGACTCTGTAATAACAGATCTTAATGTTGTTTCTAAAATGAAGGTTTTATTACTTATGAAGTCACTCTGTTTATTTGAAGCCAAATACAAGTATTTTTTTTATTTGTTTCTTTAGTTTCTTTGCAACACTGAGACTGCTCAGACTGACACCTCCTCACATGTAATCACATCATCAGGACCCACTGTGCTTCATTGGTCACTGAGCAGATATGAAGTTTTCCAGGAGTGAATTATAACCCAAACCACCATCTTCATAAAATAAAACCAAGTGGTTTTAGTGTCTATTTTCATTCATGAGTCACTTTATTAGATACACCTGTTCAGCTGAATGTTAATGCAAATATATAATCAGTCAATCACATGGCAGCAACTCATCATATAAAAAATGGTGACGATGAGCTGCTGACGTTCAAATTGAGCATCAGAATGGGGAAGAAATGTGATTTAAAGGTTTTTGGATATTGTTGGTCAGCTGGTCTGAGTATTTCAGAAACAGCTGAGATCTCTAAGGTTACAGAAAATGGTCAGAAAGAAAAATAGAAAGCCTTGTTGATGTTAGAGATCAGCTGAGAATGGCCACACAGCATGCAGAAGAGCTTCTCTGAAAGCAAAGTAGCACACCATTTCGTTTAGCTAAAAACAGGAAACTAGGACTACAATTCCCATAATGCGTATCAAACTGGACAACTAAAGCCTGGAAGAACTTCACAGTTTGTGCTGTGACATTTGGATAGTAGGGTCAAAATTTGGTGGAAACAACAACAAGAAAGGGCGGAGCCATCCTGCCTCTATCAAAAAAGCTGCTGCTGACCATGTCCACCAGTCAACCTTTCTACCTATCTTTTGGCGGTTGTTTCCAGCAGGATAAGGTAGTTTTTTCTACTCTCAACGGTCTTTCTTGCTACAAGTACCTCATTCACTCAGTCACACATTTATACAAGTGCTTTTTATGCCTAAACGCTGATGAACGCATCATTCACCATCAAAAACTATCAGTTACTATTTATTCCATAGGAGTCTTTTTGTTTCTCTGGCTTAGTACTGAGTGGCTCGGGTGTGTAGACCTCACAGGGTCAAACATTTACTGTAAAACACAAGACATGACCACGCAATTAAAATGTTTTTCTGTGGCATTCAGAGGAGCAGCATTATGGCATTATCCACAGCACAGCCCATGAAGCTTTTATCCCTTTGTGTTGGTTTCCATGGTTACTCTGTTAAAGACTCAACTGACAGTCAGCTGTCTTTTGTGTTAGTCGCTGGCCTCTCTGGCCTCCACTCACACTCTGATTTCTTTTCTCCTCTGCGTCCACAGTGGAGCAGTCACATTTTTTCCTCATCGGGCTGTTTTTCTCTATCTCAGATGGAGATGTCGACAGCCGGTCCAGGGATGTTGAGTCACCAGCAGCGCTCCATGAAGAGAAGGCGGTGGGGAGGTCTGAGGCAGCAGTGGAAACTTCTGGGCCTGTTTGAGATTGACCAACAGCATGAGTTCTACAGCCTGACCTGCATGATGAAGGAGGGCTTGGCTGCAGCCATCCAGAACACCATCGATGACCCACCTGCAGTGAGTAGCTGTCAGGAAACAGTGCAGCCACTTACACATGGCGGCTTCACACAAAGCCACCTGCTTTGTAGTGAAGTGGAAGCAGTTAGCAAAATAAGCTGAAAGGTGTCACTACCACATATACTAACAGTTACCATGGAGTAGTTGTGGGTGTTTTGAGAGGAGCCCATTTAGGTCGTGGACACATGAATTTTACCTGTCATAAGTTTATGTTTTTGAAAGTAGAGATCATAAAAAAGAGGGTTTGAGCTGACTGATAAATGGAAAATACTACATTCTCAAACAACTTCAGTAGTCCTTTTATCCTCTAAGTGGGACATTCAATTATAAACTCATTAGGCAAGTGATACTGAGGTCATAAATCAAGTGAATTCAATACAATCAGACTTTAAAAAAAAACTTGGGGTCTCTCCCCATTAAAAATAATACACTCTTACGTACTAAAACATTAGCTTTACTTTTGTATATGAAAGATGAACAATCAAGCCTTTATGGCTGTTGTCATGTTGGGCTTTAGGAGCCCAAAGTAACCAAAATTAGATGGTGTGTGGAGTGTAACCATATGGCTACATCACACAGACAAAGATACCTGTTAACTGGTGCTGAGTAAAATCCAAATAAAGATAAATTTTGCCTTATTATTTGTTGGATAAGACAAAGTGGTCCAGTTCTAGGATTTCAATTAAGTAAGGTGAAGCCTAGCAGCTACAGTCACCTTTGTCACATCCACCTCTCAGTCAAAGAGGCTGCACCTCTAAAATTGTAAACTTAATATAATCCTTAAGAACATTTGGACTGGTGGGTTGTTGTACAGTTCTTATAAGGGAAAAAATGAGCTACAGGGACCAAAATCGTTCTTTATAACAGGTTGTAAGATCTTTATTTCTGCTCTAAAGCTGCAAAGGTTCATATTTTAACAGTTTTTCTTTTTGAAGCCTCTAGTGGACATCAGAGGAACTGCAGTTTGTGGTACATCCATATTAGCTCAGATTTCTGCTTGGTTTTGTGTTAGTAGCAGTAGTAGCAGAGTCAGTGAATCCTTGGCAGTATATTACTTTTGTTTACCTTCCATAAATTAAAAAAATAAAAGCAGATTACCAAACTGAAAATTCTCTTGTTATATTGCATTAATGAGGCCTGATTATCCTTGTTGTCTTGTCTTGTCTGTTTAGTTTCATGTGAATGAGCCATAACCTACCCTCCAACCACCAAAAAAACCTTATTATCCATTTATAATATGCAGTTCTTCCAAAGAAAATGTGCTGCTTGTGTAAATGTATTGTATTACAAGTTGGTATTACATTAAAGTACCACTGAGCTGTGACACTGGACTGTTGACACAATCTTCAGAGTGCCAACAAAAAGTCATGAGAGAGTGAATGAAAGCTGTTGCATAATATTTCTACATCATCAACTATAATATGTCACATGGCGTAATCAGACTACAAAGGTCGTCTGTAATGGCATCTACAGCGACACCACAGCTGTGAAGGCATTGATTATTGGATTACTGCACAGAACCTGTGAGCTGCAAAAATCACAGCTTCACGCTCATTCCAAAGTGAGAAATGAGGGCTGAGGAATTTCACTGTGCAGATTCACACAAAGAACTAGTTCAGAAAAAAATAATGAACAGTTTAAAGAAAATATTTATGTGTAGCTCAGCGGGTGGTGCAATGGTGTAATGGTGTTCTTGGTAATAGCCGAAACAAGGCCAGGCATTGTTGTTAATGTAGGGACACCAGAGCTACAGTGACTGAACAGCTTGTCTAAACCGAGAGACAGATGAAACCACTCACGAAAATATAAAATATAATATGATGAATGCTTACATATCTGAGAAATATAAATTAATATTTTGTTGAAGTTTAGCTGGTTAACACGGGCTAAAAACGGTTCGACTTTGAATATAAAAGGTCATTTTTGTAATTACCCTCTGCAAACCTGTACTATAACTTCTACCACAGGAGGGCAGTATTGTAAAACCGAGATCTGAAATCTAAGAAAATGTAATATTGTTGAGACTGAGGTGATGAAATGTTACCTGAAAGCAAGAGGTTTAATGGTTTGACTGTCCTGCTTAGTAAATGTGTTCTTTTGGTTTTCCAGCTTATCAAAGAATTGCTCAATAATGCACAGAAAGTTCAAGAAAATCTAAAACTTGTTTCCACTCTGAGGTTGAGTGAGAGAAGCTGACACTTACACTGACACTTAGATAGTGTCTGACCAATTCTGGGAAAAGGCAGATTTTGGAAACAAGCAAAAGGTTAAATACAAGGGAGGTTTAAATAAGTAGAAGAAAGAGAATCTAACTGATTCTAAATAAGCAGAAAGAAAGACAGGGAGTGTGGATGATGAAATCCTCTTTTCTCTGATTCTTAGAATGACCAAAGTTTTAAAAATGAATCATGTTTTAATCAGTTTGACTCGAAATGAATGAGTCAGACCGTAAAGTTGTAAGAAAGTGTTTACAGAGGTCAGGGCTGATGGTTCCTTGGACTTTTATAGGACAGGAAGTCGTTTTTTTTTTTTGTGCCTGGTGGCCTTTAAAAAGAATGCAAGCTTAAAGCATTTCTGAATTTCCTTTACTTTTCAGACCTAGAAGCTAGGTCCATCCTTTATATTGTTTATGATTCCAGTGAGTATTTCCTCACTGGCACACTCAAACTGAGACTGGCAGAGTGGATGCTGTCATGAGTCACTGGGCCTTCTTACTGTATGAAGTCATGTTGCTTGTTTCTTTGCATTTTGTTGATCATTTAGTCATTTTCCAATGGCTACCTTTTATTAAATGCACTGGAAGGTCAGTTTCCTAAATAATAATTCAACAGAGTTCGTTTTTCATGTGCTGCAGTTTGAGGCCACAGAGAAACGCTTACAAATTATAAAGTAATATTTTCCTATGTTCCTGCTCCCTCACTCAACAATCCTTTTTTTCTTTTTTTCATTCCCTTCATGTTGAAGTCAAAGTCATGGTTGCAATACTATCATCAGCATATAGCTGATTAGATTATATCACTTTTGAAAAAAAAAAAACTTCAGACATTACTTAAAAAGTAAAAACTCGATTAAAATTTTTATGTAATTAATAAGAGGCGTTGTAAATAAGTAATCTCTAAAATCTAATTAAATTAAAATCAAAAATGTTTTTTTTTTAATTTAAAAGGGTTTTAGTAGGGGAGAGCGGGGTAAGTTGTCACACGGGTAAGTTGTCACACTGTTCATAACTCCAACACTAGAGGCTCTATCTCAAAAATGAAATAGCCACTTTGTGTGACTTCTTCTTCTATAGTCAACCTCCTGTTCACATGTGATCAAGACTGCTCTAATCTGAGGTGAGCACATCTTTTTTATTTTTTTGACCTAAAAGGAAAAATAAATCACTTTAAATTTTCTTCAGTATAACTTTGTTAGGTATAGATGTTACAAATTATTATTTTACACAAAATAGAGGAGACATTAACGTGTCTTTTGATACTTCAGCTGATGTGCTATGTTGAGCTAACCCTGACATTTAGCCAAAATTAGCATAAATGTCAGTTTGGGGCAAGTTGTCTCATTAACTTTGGGGCAAGTCGTCACATGTGACAACTTGCCAAACAATTGTGATATTGTAATTCATTTGTATTTGTAATAACTTGGTAGTCCACTGTCAGTAATTGCAGTGCTGGCAATTACTGACAGTGGACTACCAACTCCAGAGGACATCCGGCCATATCCAAAAGCTGGCCGCCGAAAACCATCCAGCAAAGGAAGAAAACGACGCAAATCAGCAATTCTAACCGACACAACAGTGAAACAGCAACTAGAAAAAGAAAAGAATAAGGCTGAATCTAGCAAAAAGCTGTTTCAAAAGAGAGGGACGCAAGGGGGGAAAACATCTGGACCTATGAAGAACAACGCAGCTAAAAGAAGAAAAATAATTCAAGAGTCATCATCAGATGATGAAGAGTGCTTCTGCCTTGTCTGTGTGGAGCCATTTTCAAACAGTCGTCCAAAAGAGACCTGGGTAAAATGCGTAAAATGCAACAAATGGGCCCATGATGCTTGCACCTCAGGCCAGGCAATTTATGTGTGCCAGAATTGTGACTCTGAAGTTGAGTCTGAAATAGGGCATCTGTTTTGTTCAGAGGATAAATATGTTAAGTAAAGCAAGTTATTTGCAGCATTCCATTCAGTTATGATGGGTTTATGTGCAAGCCAGAGAACATTTGAGTTTAAAGTTCAAACTAAAGTTTTCTTTCTACTTAATGTTTTGATTAAAATGTGTATTGGATTGACATAATTGTTTTTTTCCAAATTCTCTTGGCATAATTGTTCAAATTTCCAGTTTTGGTTTGAATTTAACAATTAAAATCAATAATCACAATTAAGTATTTGTGTTCTTATTTTAAGATAATCTAGTGTGACAACTTACCTGCCGATGGGGCAAATTGTCACAAGTGCACATTCTCCATTCAACAGTCTACAACTCCGTAATGAGATAAGATATGAAAATGTAATGAATACATCATATGTGCCCGAGACTTCCTTCTTTCATTTGGT